AATAGCGTTTTCCCTCATCCTATTTACAGTATTTGAGGTTGTTTGGCCAAAGATGATGATAACAATTGGGGATCCAATTCACACATGGTTTTCACCGACTGCAGTAAGGGCTACGGGCTTTCTTTCACAGCTCTGGACTCAGGATCAGTTCTGGTTCTCTTACTGCTTTCTTTCTCTCTAGGAATTGTTTACTAGCTGTTCATCCATGTTTTTTTGGCGTACTGACCTTAAAAAAAAAACAAAAAGAAAAAGAAAAAATGTATTTGCTAACACAATATCTGCCGGCACAGCCCAGCTTGCTCACCTAGAAATTTTATTTGTGTCAACTGAGATCAGACCCACACTGGACCCTCTTTCACAAGCAGGAAAAGAAAAAGAAGCAACAAAGTCTACTGAATAAATAAATAAATGAATAAAAGCCCAAATGAAGGGGAAGCATTTCAAGGCAGAGAAGCATAGCCTAGTGGCTAAGGTGATTCTGGATAACAAAACGTGGCAGATTCTTTTCTTCCCTTATTGCCAGCTTGGGCATAAAGTGAGGCGTTCAAAACTACTTTTCAGAAGTGTTGAACACCTGCTGCGTTTGTGGAAGTAAATGAGACCTGCAGCTGCTGGCTCGACATCGGGTGTACGGGTGACTCACTCGCTCGTCCGCTCCTCTGTAAAGCAAGTTTTGTAACACCCACCTCCACAACGAGTGTGAGGGGCAGCAGCTAACACTTCAGATACCTCCTGCTAAATAAGAGGCAAAGTGTCTTTAAAAGCTTTCGGGATGTAGATTTTTTTTTCATGGTACAAATTATAAAACAAGACCTTGTCACCTAAGTGATCTACAAGGATATTTGCATGATCTGCTTCTTGTCAATAAAATAAGACTGGACTTTTGTCCTAATTCTAATGAGATCTATTAAGGAATTAGTGTTGTACAAATGCATTTATCTTGTTTATTCAGTCTCAGCTTGCTTATACCATTTTTCTTATCTGATATGTTTTTTTTATTGTTTAATGTCTGTTCCCCCTACTATTCTCAAAGCTTTCAGAAAATATACTCTAGAATATTTACAGAAAAAAGGGTAATTGAATTTTAAATAGCTATACATAAGTAACTATACTATATTCATGCATGACAGTGATTACCTGGACAACTTGAAATTTAAATCCTACACCAGACACCTATGGAACCTATGGAAGCTCTAAACATTTTCTGTTTTATGATTTTTTTTTTTTTTAATAGAAAAGTTTTTGCTCCATCCATGCATATTTTTGCTTCTCCTCCTTTCTGTACTATAGTCAGAAAAATGAGTAAGGAACCTTCATTTTAAAGGAGATGACGATTAAAGTGTTAGCCTTTATATTGCAGAATAAATTACTGAGATGGAAACCAAAACTATCAGTCAAGCAGAAAATACCTTATCATTTTTTAAGTGTCAGTGAGTATTTTGTTGGTGTTAGTCTTGTATCTCACTACCCTTCAGTGTGTTGACATTACTGACAGACAAAAAGGGAATCCCTGCAGTTTGTGAGAAGTGGATCTATCTAAAATATAGATCGCAAACACTTTTTTTTGCATGTATTTGCATTCTAGGAAGGTGCCACCTGAAATACTAGATACGCTTGGCTCTTTAGTGAAAGAATATCACACAGTTGTAGTGTATAGAAAATAAACCTGGTATCCAGACTTCAGCCATGACTTCTTCCCTACGGTACTGTTCAAGGCCCTACTGTAAAACAACACTGTGAACTGCTCTACAATTTCCAGTAATTTTTCCCTATTGTAATTCTCTGTAGTTTGGGAGGTATTTTCCTAACTCAGGATCCTCATGCTCACAAGTAGAAACTTAACAGCTGTCCAAATGAACTAATCCAAAAGCAGCTAAATAACATGAGACTCTATTGGCTTAAATAGGCTGTGGATCATACTGCGATGGCAGAGAGACCTCACATAGCTTCCTGACTTAACCAAAACTGTAACACACCTAATATGAGCGAATTTGGGGAACCTAGGTGCTGTGGATAAAAAAGGCAGGTTACTATTCGAAATCGAACCTCTGGTTAAATCTATACTTACAGACTAAATGAGGTCATGGCCCATTCTCTAGCTCTGAAGACAAGGGCTATGGCCAAGCTGGCTTTGATATGGGCAAAGTCCCTTTCCTTACCACACACCTGGGTGGCCTATGCCATCCTCTGCACCATAGTCAGGCAACCAGTTGGTCCAAACTAAAATAGTGCCAAGTGTTAACAGTCAAGCCAGCTGGACAACTGTGAGTCAATTTTCCGGCACAAGCACTAGCCCTGCATTATTTATTAATATAGACAAGCCTGCATTTTTTTCTTGCCTGTGTCACTTTATAAGAGCATAGGTTTGTAGGAGGCAGAGATTTTTCATGCAATCAGATCCATTGTCTACATGCTCTAATATCCTGCCTTGATAGCTTTAAATGCTTACCCTTAAGATATAAGAAAATAACAGTAAATAGCTATATCACTATAATTTACATTACTTTCCCTTGCCTAATCGCATCGCAATCTCTGCATATTGGTATACAGAGATGAAAGTTGGAAGTGTTCACTTGCCATTTACAGCAATGGCATCTTGAACATGCACAAAATCTTTTTGCTTTTGGCGTCTGAACAATATTTCCTATGATTTACCCACAAACTGAGGGTAAATTCACCGTCAACATGCACTGTTTATAGTCAGCGAACAAGTGACTTTGTGACATTTTTTCTTCTAAGTTTGGCTGCGTTTAAGGGCTTAACATTTGATTCTCTAATCAAAACTATTGAGCAGAACAGTTTATATATATATTTATCTAAAAGATAAATATATTTGGAATCTCTTTCTTCTTGGCTCACCCTGTTGGCAGTTCCTGCTCTGCCCCCTTCAGATTTTTCCTCCCTTTGTGGTCTTTTAATTATTGCATTTACCAAGGAAGAAAAAGACATAAAATAAAAGCAGGGCAGAGGTGAAATAGAAACGGCACCATGAAACACATATATTGGGAGAAAAAGAGGAAAAATAGAATGGGGGAGAGATTCGAATTGGGACAAAAATGAGTCACCTATTTATGCTGAATTGGACTTTGTGCCTAACATGTGACCTTGTGACCATTGCTTGATAGTCACACAATTCTCCGGAAGTCACAAAAAATACCTGTTGTTCATACGATCTTAATTTTAATTTGTAGCAGGTGTTTGTGATTCTTATGATTATTTCAGCTCATTTTCCTTAAAGAAAGAGTAAATGAGAGTTCAGAATACAATAGGCTAACTATAAAACCCAAAGAAATCCTGACTGCAGTAAGCTGTGCTCTTAATTTCTACAGAGGATATATATATATATTTAACCTGTCTCGGGCATGGTTAGACCGCTGAAACCCTTTGCCTTCGCCTTGTGGTTCTCTCAGCATAAAAACAGTAATTCTCCCACTAGCTACTTCCCAACATATTGATCTAAAACTCAAGAATCTATGAGGGTCTTCCTAAGGACTTCAGAGAATATTGAATTGGCCCCTAATTGGAATACACTTTTTTTTCCCTTAATGATTGTAGTTAGGATTTCACAAACATAAAGAAATGATTTATTGCAAGAAGTTTCAGCTTTCCTTGGCTATATGAGTTTCAGAGGCATCTCATCACCTTTTTCAGATTGGGTGACAGTGCATACAGAAATAGTTACAGAGAAGGAATCTCTGAAACAAATCCTAATTTCCTTTCTTTCTTCCAGATTAACACGCTTTCTCGACTTCTTTTCCTTTTCTTGTATTTTACTTCCATAACAATGGGCTGATATGGAGTCATGGCTGGCAGTGGAGTTGCTCAGCGGCTGCACAGCCCAGTAGTTCTGGAGAGTTTTCCTAGCTCTCCTAATGACTTACTGTGTGATTCTGTGCAAGTTACTTCTTGCCTCTGCTTGTCCGTTTCCCCAGAGTGATAGGGATCATTAATCATCTGTAAACCGTTCTGAGACCTAGAGACAAGAACTGTTCCTTATTAATGCTATTAATTTATAGGACATAGACTTCCACTTAAACTTACTAAGATATATCTTCACTGTTGCTTTCAGTATTGGCTAGAAAAGACTTTTTTTGGTAGAAGAAAGGATTTCTAGAGGTAGAGAATTTTACGTAATTAGTTTTTAGTTCTCTTTTATAAGTCTGATGTATTTGCTAGAACTTTGAATAAATTTCTGGGTAAAACACGTTTCTGGGCCCAACGTTTATGCATCGTGCATTTCTTAGCCAATTTTTTTTAATATATTTTTTCTGCATCTTTCTTATGTAGGACTTACTTTGGCTTTGATTTTCTGTTTTTCAGCTCATGATTTAAAATGGTGAATGAACTTACAGACTACAGGGAATGAACTGTTTTTCCTTTCTCCTGTTGAAAACCAAAGAGAAATTGTAATCTAATGAGGGGAAAGCCCCAGAGCTAGAGCACACAGAAATGCAAGCAATCTATCACTGACTTTCATTTTTAAGACACAGATAATGAGAGAATACCTTCTAAGCAGCCAGTATGGATCAACTTATCGCTGCAGTAGTGCCATTACTTTGAGTTACACAGAAAATGGGCTCTTGTTTTAATCCAGAGTTTGTGTTAGCTTTAAATTCTGTGTTTGCAAACTGTTTTTAAAAATTGATAGCTTGCTTTTTCCTCTCCCCTGCTCATCCCCCCAGCGCAATGTTAAATGGAGATGTGCAGCCTTAATTGGTTTAGTTACAAGAAGATAATGTTTTTTCCTCCTTTCTCACTGTTGCCTGTTAGCTTAAAGGCTTTTTAGCTGAAGGTTGATAATTATCACTGAGAAGAAACTAGCACATCAGGAGTTCATTTTCCATCCTAGCACTTGTGGCTCTCCTTTGAACTCCTCTCACCAAAGCCGCGTTCCCACTTTGTCACTTTCCTCCCGCTATCATAAAAAGGTCCCCGCAGCTGGAGGCTTCATCCTTTGCCGGCCGGCAGAGGGAATTGCTTCTCCCAGGCGCTCCTCCACAATGGACAAATTGCACGAGACTTTGATAAATATGGAAGATGGTTTGGGTTCGGAGCATCCTGTCTGCTTAACTCCCTGGGACTGGAAAAACAATACAGGGGCTTTTGAGCTGAACCAGATCTCGTCTCCTCACAGCTTATCTCCAGCTCCTTCCTTCGAGTCCTACTCTCCATCCCCTTGCCCGACGGCGATCGAGACCCCCTACCACAGCAGCAGCAGCAGCAGCAGCTTGGTAGGATACAGCCTGGAGGATTTCCCTCAAGCCCCGGACAGGCCCGGCTCCCCAAGGGCAGCAAGGTTCGCATGTCAGCCCAGCGCAGAAGAAAAGCCAGCGAGAGGGAGAAGCTGAGAATGAGGACTCTAGCAGAGGCTTTGCACACTCTGCGCAATTACCTGCCTCCTGTCTACAGCCAGAGAGGCCAGCCTCTCACCAAAATACAGACCCTGAAATACACCATCAAGTATATCAGTGAACTGACGGATCTTCTGAACAGCGTGAAACGGGCATAGGCCCCGACTTGAAGAACCTGTCCCTGGAAAGCTGTGATTCTCTGTCTTTACAAAAAAATCCAGCGAAAATTCTTCCTCGCAAGAATATCATGGTGTGGCGTAGGGGAGGAGGATGGAGAGAGGGAGCACAAGGGTCATTGTACATAGGATGGAGTGCTGGAAGGTGATGTAGGATTACCTAAACCTGAGCTGCAGGTTGCTGTCATGCAAGTCTTGCTTTTTGCTTTTTTATGTCTTGCTTTTTAATAATGAGCGTTTGAGAAATATTAAATGTAGTCTAATATAAAAGTCAAAAAAACCCAACTGATCCTACCAGGATGTACGTATCACTCTTCTGACTGATCTTCTGTTTAGTAAGGACAGTGGTAAAGTGAATTTTAAAAAAGTATATACCAACAACACTATAGGAATACTAAGTGTATTGATTTGTAGGCACTTTAATATTAGGACAAGGAAGAATATGCATAGTTAGTTCAAACTTTGTCTATTTATCCACATTTCTACTGTATCTAAAATCAAGAAATTAAGTAATATTAAGAAAATCTTTACTCATAATCGAATAAATAACTCTCATGCTCTGTATCTTGCATTATATATCTGATAAATAAGTATAATCTAATAACTGATGACCACAAAATGTTGGAAATGAAATATGAACAAACTGACATTTTGTATAGATGTTTGCTGATAAAGTCTATCTTCTTTTTTAATATATCCAGAAACATATCATATTTCAGTATTTAATGTATAACCCCTCTCCTTGCTTCAGTGTCTGCTAAATTTTCACATTTCATACTTTTTCACATCAGACTGCTACAAGAAATAAGACTAGATTTAGTTCTATTTCTCCTCTTCCTTCTCTTTGGTTGACTTGAAACGATCAGGTATCAGAAAGATGCAAAGTTTACCATCAAAGTGTATTGAAACCTAGAAGGTCTCCAGTAACCATAAGGTTTCCTCTACTAAAAGCTGTCAGATCAGCTGCTTGCCGTGGTGAACAACAATCCTTTAAAACAGAAGAAAGAAACATAAAACCCCCCAAATTCCAACAAACCGGGAAATAGTCCAAATCTTTATTACTTTGACCTTCATCTGATAAATGTCATGCAGGTCTCACTGCACTACACAAAAATGGGTTGCTTTGTAGATCTCATTGCAGATTGGTTTGAAAGACTTTGCGCTCTGCTGAAAGACTCTACTCTCTGAGGCCAGAAATGCATGGAGAGGAGCAAAACCTGGAGAAGAGGTGGTGCATTACTGCATTGCAGGGCTGGGTTGTGTGGAGCTGATTAAGGTCTTTCCTCCACAGAGAGCTGTAAGGCATAGGGAGCAGCAGCTGGGAGGGAACAGGCTTCTCTCACCAAGAGGGATAGATCAGCACATTGGTGTCAGGCAGATGGTTTGTTTATGGATATATCCTGTCACAGAGCACTACAAAGCTAAAATTTTTTGCATCTTTCTCTTTTTTCTTTTCCTCTTTCTGTTCACGTTCTCTATTTGTTTGTTTGCAATGAAATGTAATGGCCTTCGTACATTTTTTTTCTCTAAGGCTCAGCGTAAGCTGACTCAATACTCTTCTCACATGATACGTGCATATTGCAGTACTCAGTCTGAATTTCGTCAGTATCTGAAAAAAGCAGCTAAGTTCAAATTTATGCAGGTAATTCTGTCAGTCCAAGAAGCTACTACATTTAAGGGTATCCCCATACACTTCTGTTTTGCTTTAACCCATCTTAGATTTCTCACAAGCTTTAATGTTTCAGCAAGGGTGTAGCATTTGTTACTATAAGCCTGTACAAGTGATCCAGATTTGAGCAGATGCAAAGCCTCACAGATACTGAAGCCTATCTATCTGGATTGTTTTGGATGCAGTCCTCACGCATTTCAAGGAATTGAAATAGTAACGTGGCCATGGAACCTTGCTGCAGAACCAGACCTGAAAGTCTGATCTTAAGTACATTCTTTTAGAGAAGACTTTCACTGCAGCTGACAGCTATAAAGGAGCACGTGCTCACTAGGGCTGGCAAATCACCAGCAGATGCATGTGAAGACAGTTCCATTATTCCTGGTGATGTTGTTTATAGAGCATCATCATACACAGGTATATCAATCTATGCTTGGAAAGGCTTTTAACCTTGCTCTTTAAATCTTCCACACCTGAAACTGCAAGTAATGACTATGCTTTTCAGCTTTTCAGGTAAGGAAGATGATATGAGCTAATGACTTCAGGAGGCTGTTGTCCAGGACCCAGTTAAGTAACCCTGAAGCTTGATAGGGCTGTATGCAGAATTGCCCAAGCAGCAGGTACCTTGTAGACCTGAGGAGTGGCTCAGGTTCAGCATCTCCAGCCACCCCAGAGAAAGCAGAAGCCAAAGTCCTTGCAAGCTTGTTGGTTTCCTGCAGATTCCCTCTTCCTGTCTTCCTATTGCTTCTAAGATGGAGCAACACCTCTAACTAACTGCAAAGGATTAGAGTTTCAGAAGGACCCATTTACTATTTCTGTACAAGTAAACTACACTGTGCCAGAGGCTACTCTGTAGTCCTGAAAAGCCAGTGGCCATTGGTGTGGCTTTAGAGTTCTTTGAACTCCAATAGATCATCTTTTCCCTTTCCTTTATCCCCAGGACTTCAGGTTATTTACTTGATGTGAAAGAGACGGAGATTAAGTCCCCTTCTCCAGCAGAGGAGATCTAACCATATGACCATAGGCAAGAATGTCAAGGCTAGTTTGTTCTAAATGGCACTGCTGGCAATATATAAATATAAAAAATATTTCAGTGGAAAACTCATAGTTTTTCAGTTGGTTAGATGCTAGTTTTCATTTCTTTTTTTTTTACTATTCTTACCTGCTTTTTACTATAAACATGCTTTTTTTTCCTCCTGGGGAAATGAAACTTCTTCCTACACCAGCACCATTTCTAGTCTACTGAATGAGGCATGTGAATTTTTCAGGAAGGCCTGTTTCCAATAATAGGTACAGCACTGAAGCAGGAGCTATTGTCTCTACTTGGGATTGAAAAATCCAAAAACACTGTTTTCGTATCCATGACATAAAGTCAGAAATAATCAAACATTCAATATTTACATTCCCATTTTAGATCCCATGACCTTTGTAGACTGCATTTTGCCAAGTAGTAGATTTCAGTAAGTTCTACTAACAGAGGTCAGTGCCTTTATTTTGAATATATGGGTCCATAAAGCCTTGTTCAAATCCAATAACAACTTTATATTAATCCATAAAACAAAGACTGAAGAGCAGAACCTCACAGAAAGTCTAACAGTTGCATAAGTCACAGAAATATAAAATCTCTTTCATATATAGGTATCTTTTCTTAACATATGAACATTTCAAATAGCAGTAAAGCTAAGAATAGCCCAACGGTCATCGAAAGCCCGGGGCTAAGGAATTAAATTCTGTTCTGCCTAAGGGTTGGAATTATTTGCCATCCCAAAAAAAGAGAGATTTATGAAAGAGAACTGAGGGCAGTCCAGTACAATGACAGGAACTCTCACGGCTTTAAGACTTCTCCCAAATCATATTACTACCTTTTCCATATCAGTCAAATTGCTTCACTGACATGAAGAGGGAGCACAGAGAATAAAGAATGGAAAATCAAAGCATGATCTTCTAATGCGTTCAAAATTTTCTCATGCAAGAAACTGATATTTCAGATCACGCTTTAAGAGTGATAATAGCCATGAAAGTACAGCAAGTAAGTGCTCAAATACAATACGGAGGAGGGACAAAGACAGTAGGAAGAACAGAGCAGAACTTTACAAGATCTTCTGCAGAGATGCACAAAAACATTTTAGAATCATAGAAAAAGCCTGGAGATCTGGAAACCTGGCCATCTGGTTGAACTACATACAGCTCCTTCATTTCCAGTTTACTGATCAGACCATTATTCCATCTGATGTTCCCAAAACTGGTTGCTGCACACTAGCTGTAGGTATTTTGACTCTTAACAAGTGCTCCCAGACATTACAAACATGCTTTTGTTTTAAGCCAGAGACAAACAGTATAGACTCTGCACAGGCTATGCCTGTCCGAAAACACAGAAGATCAATGTAGTAGAACAGCTTGCAGGCTGAAGGCAGAAGTAGCCCTCAGGCAGAAAAGATGGAGGGGAACACCCCTACTCCCCACCAACCAAAAAAAAAAAAAAAAAACACACACCACACACACACAGAAGAGGAGCACCAAATTAGTAAAAAGCCTGGAAGTCAGTAGCTGCATTGCTGAGTTGCTCTTTTAGTTCAAAGCAGTGCTGCTTTCATTTTGGATGAATCACGGGGCAGGGACCAGAGGCATCTGAACTGTAGAACCCTTGGAAAGTTTTCCTCATGGTTCTGGCTTGTCACTTTTCCCTGCTTTTTATTGCAACGGAATTAGGCAGGGAAGAGCAGATAGCTATGTAAAAAGGATGTTATACAAAATAATTCCTTTGTGCTGAAGGCCATTCACCTGGCGCTGCTGAAGGGGATCATTGCTGCTTTCATAGGACAATAGGCTTTCAGTTTCTTCTTTTACCTCACAGAGACCAACGGCTGCTCTGATGAAGCTAGAAATACGTGATGCTACTTTATTTAGGAGAGAGCACGCCTCTGGAAGAGAGGGAGTCTGGTAGTTAGGACATTAGCCCAGCATTTGGGAGACCTGTACAGCTCTCATCTCCAGGGCAGGCCTTCCTTTTGAATTCAGGCAAGCGACAGCTTTGCTGTACTCTCTGTAAAACGGGTACAACAGCCTGGATAGACATGGAAGATGGTAAGGTGGTCAAGTACTATTCCCCATTCAGATTCTGTTCTATTCTGCCTCCGAGGGAATATTCTTCAGTCATTAAAAGATAGCATTTGGAACATGCTCTCCTGGTGACCCCTCACTGTATGTCTATGGAGCTGCAGAGCTCACCCCCTCACGAAAGCAGGGGGAGCCTGGCCTGCATAAAGTGCTTTGAAATTCTAAACTGAGAAGCACCACATAGGTGCCAAGAAGTTTT